CCCCCCGGCCCCGCCGGGCCCGCCCCGCTCACCCCGCCTGTCCCGGGCAGCCATGGCGGGCCGCAGAGCTGCCATCAAGGCCATCGACTGGGCCGCCTTCGCCGAGAGGGTGCCCGCCAACCAGAAGGCCATGTTCAACGCCCTGAAGACCCGCAGCGACGCCCTGACGGCCCGGTGAGTGTCTCTTCCCCCTCCCGCGGGTTCCAGCCCTCGGCTGCACTGAGCAGCCTGGGAGGTGCTGGGCTGAGCTGGTGGCTGTGTCTGACAGGAGTGCCCTGCCAGTCAGTGAAACAGGTCACCTTCAAGGTAGCTGGTGGCTTTTTTTGGCAAATCATCTTTCCTTAATCCTCCCTGGAGTTAGACAATAGCTGCAGCCTAAGGAAGCCCAAGTGACTTGGGCATGTTCACAGCATTTTGCAAGCTTTCTTGCTCTCTTCATCACTGTACAAAGTCATCAGGCTTCTCAAGTCCTGCAGCACCTGGTGCATGATCCAGATGTTGTCACAGGTGATAAACTGCTGGTTCCAGCTCAGTGTTGTGAAAACTGCCTGAGCCTTTCTCCCAGAGCTGCTCTGCAGGGCAGCAGGGCTGCTGGCTGAGCTCTTCTTCTCCACATGGAGAGCTCAGTTTGAAGGGCAGGAGGCTTTGCAGGAATGGTTCCTTGCTGCTTCTTCCTGATGGGCCTGGAAATACCTAAACTAAACTTGCAGGCTCTGTTAGCACTCCAGAAGGTGGAATGGTCACTGAAGTCTCCTCCCAGCTCTGGTGACTCCTCTTCTCCTCTTCAGGTTGGCTGCCCTGCCAGAGAAGCCCCCAGCCATTGACTGGGCTCACTACAAGGCTGTTGTTGCCAAAGCTGGCATGGTGGATGAGTTCCAGAAGAAGGTCAGTCTGCTCCTCAGCTCCTGGGAGGTCTGAGTGGGGAATGTCCTTGGTGTTGAGAGGAAACCCCCAGGACTGGCAGAGGAGGTTGATGTTGGCTGGTGGGTGCCCCAGCCTTGCACCCTAGAGGAGGTCACTTCAGTGCCAGCTCACAGGAGCTGTGTGGGGAGAAGGGGGGTGGAAGAAAACTCAATGAATTCTTTTGGCTATGTATTGGGGCAATGCCTCTCCTGGATCACATTCCAGGAATTCCTCTTAACTCCCTGAAGGAGGGAGGTGGCAGGTGGGCACTCTGCACCCTGTGAGACATGGAGAGCTGGCTGGGGCTGCCATCCCCTTGATGAGCAGGAGATGAAATGCACCAGCCAGGGTTCTGCTGAGGGGCACGTGGTGTGACTGGCACTGGGGAAATCAGCCTCCCAAGGTGACCTCAGATGGATCCTGGAGCTTTGTTTTGGGGGGGAAATAAGTCTGGGATATGATCAGTCTTTGGTATTGATGGTCATGACTTTGTGCTGTGCTCTGGGCAGGGCTGTGAGGGGTGGGTGGTGTTGGGGTCCTGGGGGGTCCTCAGAGCTGAACAGAAGGCTCTGAGCCCCCAGGGCTGCTTGGGAAGGGCCTGGTCAGGCTGCAGGGATCAGTTTTAGGAAGCTCCTTAGCTGGGATGGATGTGGGGTCACATCCAAGGGAGAGGTGGGAATGCTCCCCTGCTGCAGGGCCTGACCTGCTGTGGAGGGTCATTTGAATCAAACCACAGGCAGTATTTTCTCTTTTGCTTTACAGTTCAGTGCCCTAAAGGTTCCTGAGCCTGTGGATACACAAACTGCCAACGTTGATGCCCAGGAGAAGGAAGCTGTAAGTGTTGGGATTGTTCCCTGGTGGAGGGATGTGTCTGACCCCTCTGAGGGTGGGAAGGGGCGTTGGGTGCCCGTGTCTGCGCAGGCAGAGCAGCTCAGCAAGAGGTTCTGCTCTTCATGGGCACCTCTGGCTTTTGGTTCAGCAAGAGGATCTCTGGAAGGGTTTGGCTGCACCTCTGGCTTTTGGCTCAGCAAGAGGATCTCTGGAAGGGTTTTGGATGGCTGGGATTTCATCAAGACTCTGCCCAATTATCACGGGGAACGATGATGAACGTTGGTGCCGACGCTAACCCGGCGGGGTCACTGTGTCCTAACCGTGGTGCACCCTGCTCTGGTGGGAGTTGTCCCTGCCAATGAGGGGGTTTGGAGCTAGATAATCTCTAAGCTCTCAACCCAAACCAGCCTGTGATGATGATCCTGTGTTCACCTCCTCTCCTTCCCTGCAGGCAAAGAGCACAGCTGAGTATATTCAGGCTTCCAAAGCCCGCATTGCCCAGTACGAGCAGCAGGTGAGTCTGGATTCAGGGAATGTTCCCTTCAGCCCAGCCTGGTGCACCCCTGGCTCTCACCTCTCTGTGCTTTGCTCTTTCTTGCTGACAAGTGATGTGTTTGTTTCTGCTCCCACTCCAGCTGCAGAAGCTCAGAAGCATGATTCCCTTTGAGCAGATGACAATTGAAGACTTGAACGATGCCTTCCCTGAAACCAAGCTGGACAAGGAGAAATATCCCTACTGGCCCCACAAACCCATTGCTGATCTGTAAACAGTTGGTCTCACAGCTGTCAGACTCAATGATTGTTTAAATAAAGTGCTTTCCCTCCTGCCTGGGGCTCAGACCTTATCCAAGGGGTTACAAAGTTTTGAGGGACGTGGAGCAATGCACTGACTTGTGAGCAGCCCAGCTGGCCTGGATTTTGTCTTTCCCACCTGTCAGCCTGGTTTTTGTGCAAGGCCCAAGCTCCCACTTAGGCCTCTTGGTCAAACTGGGTCCTCCTGCCTCCTCTGGAGCAAAAAGAAAAGGGTCTGACCCCCTCTGGAACCCCGTAGTGAAGGGAATGTGCTTCTCCTGCTGGTGCTGGGAAGTAATTGACTGGATAAACCCTTTGGAGATGGTGGAGTGTGTTCAGCAGTGGGAGATGGTGTGTCAGCAGTTCCACAGGCAGAGCTCTAGGGCTGTTCCCTAGGTTGGCTGTGATGGTTGAGGTGCAAGAGGAGTTGGAGGAATGTGGATGTGTTGAGATACCCCCTTAAATCCAGGTGATCCTACTGGTCTCTGCCCTGGGTTTGTGGTGGTGGGACAGGGATCTCCCAGGAACTGACACTGACACAAAGGCTTCAGATTGGCAGTGGTTTATTTCATTCTCTGAGGTGGATTCTTACACACTTTTCCCCCACATGGAATCACCTCCCTAAGAAAAGGGCATTAATTTCTTTTCTGTTGGTCGTGTTCATGGTTGGAATTATAGATGGATCAAAGGAAGGGATTTTTCCCCCAGATTTCACAGTTGCTTGATTCCAAAACCTGGTTACCCCCAGAATTAAGAGCACACGTAGGGAGACCCAAGCCCTAGGGTTGCAGATTTTGTGCCCTGGGGGGTTGGTGGGTTTTAATTTTAATTCTTATTTAATTCAGGCAACTAAAACAACTGCAGCTCTGTGAGTCAAGCAGGGAAAAAATGGCAGTGGAGGGGTTAGAAGCAGCACTGGAGAATGAGGGAAGGAGCCCTGCCCAGGGCTGGTCTCTAGTGGCTCCATTTTATGGAAATAATAGCAAAAAAAAACAGGGAGAGAAAGAAGTGGCTGTAGAGAAGCAACTTCTCCAGAACTGGCAGAAATGGGTCCTGCTGTGGTGGCCGGTGGGACGGGCTTTTCTCCTGGCTCCTCCTGGGGAGGTTCAGCACTTGGGCACCTTCCTTGGTGAGGGGTTTCATGGTTGGGTTGGTCATGGCTCCCATTGCCAGCCTGGTGTGTGGCTCTGCAAAGAGCAAATGGGGGAACTGGTGGGTGAGCACCATGGCTGGGGGTGTCTGGTTGTCCTGAGAAAGCCCACCCTACCTTGAAGGAACCTGCAGAAAGATGCACCCAACCTACTCATTTCAGAGGTTCTGGGTTGCTTTACCTTGCTGGAAGCTTCTGAGGACCTTGTCTAGATGTAGGGATTTGTGCTGCTGGTGCAACAGGAAGAAGGTGTCCAGCACAGCCAAGATCATGAGCAGGAAGGTGCCTAAGAAGAAGACCACTACAGAAAGATGGGAAAACAAAGCAAGCAGTTGATAATTGACATGGTTTTCCTCAGGGGAATCCTGGCTGCCTTTGGCTGCTTGGTGGGGGGAAGGAGGGAAATTCAGCAGCTGAGAAAGCTGCTCAGTGTTCATGAAGGTGTACACAGACACCCAAAGACCTTCCTTAAGGGTTGGTCCCTGTGCAAAAACCAGGTAAAGACCCTTACCTATGATGGGTGGTTTGTTGGAGGAAGTTGGGAGGATGTTGTTGAGAATCACAGCCAACATGGAGCTGCCGAGGATGATGGCAATCTGGAAGCTGATCTTCTCCTCCAGAGAGCTGGGGCCAAACAGCACAGCCATGTCCAGCAGGTACAGGGCACAGGTGGGGAGGATCAGGTTCAGGATGTACAACATGGGGCGCCTCTCCATGGAAATCTGCTCAAGGAGATGGACAAAGCTTAGGTGAGCAGGAGGCAACTCACTGCCTTGAGAAAACTGTCTCAGCTTCCTTCCTTAATGTGGAAAATCATCTTGTTTCCCACTTTTTTTTTGTCTTTTGGTGGCCAGTCAGTGCAAACCAGTGTGGAAGTGCTGCCTTACCACGTAGGTGATGACGGAAAAGGTGCCATCATCCAGGTCCTCCAGGTGTTCAATGATGCTCAGGTTGGTGAACTTCCATTCTCCATCAGTTAGGAATATACTCTGGCTGTCTCTCATCATCTCAGCTGGCGTCCGTCTGGTCACCATGACAAGGTCTGTTACTGCTCAGGCAGGAGCAGAGAAGTGGCAGAATTTAGGCATTTATCAGAGGTCACTTGTTTCCTCTCCCTTCCACCCCCAGCCCAGGTGTGAGCAGGTGGGGAAAGGCAACACTCCTTGCACTGCTGGGGGTTCTCCCATCAGGGAGAAATCCAAAAGGACTTTGGTGAAGAGACTTGGCTGGACCTCTGGGAATCACAGAATCATCAAGGCTGGAAAAGACCTTCAAGATCATCAAGTCCAACCCTCTACAACCCCTAAACACTAAAGCATCTCCTGAAGCACCACGTCCACCCTTTTTTTGAACACCTCCAGGGATGGTGCCTCCACCACCTCCCTGGCAGCCTGTTCCAATGTCTCACCACTCTTTCTGTGAAGAAATGTTTCCTGATACCCAATCTGAACCTGCCCTGGCACAACTTGACCCCATGTCCTCTTGTCCTGTCGCTCATCACCAGGGAGAAGAGCCCAACACCTGCCTCACCACAACCTCCTCTCAGGCAGTTGTAGAGAGCAAGGAGCTCTCCCCTCAGCCTCCTCCAGGCTGAACAGCCCCAGCTGCCTCAACCCCAGCTCAGAAGAATGTGGATCAGAGGGGAAACCTCTGGTGAACCAGGACAGCTGCCCTTTGTGGGTGGGAGCTGGAGGTTTTTTTTGTCACCTCTGCTTATTTTCCCACCCTTCCTTGTTGGGATGAACTCCGACTGCAGTTTGGATCCCCAGGCCTGTCCTTATTTGCCTCTCATTTCTGGGGTTTTCAAGGTAAGTTTAAAGCTCAGTCCTGCAAAACAATAAGCCTCATTGCAGGACCCTCCTACTCTCTTGGTTCGTGGAGACCAGTCCCAGGGGGGGATCTTGCCACAGATGCTCCTAGAGATGTTGCTGGGACATGTGCCAAACCAGAATGACAGTGTTTTAGCTCATGTTCCCTGATGTTCCATGATTTCAGCCCCTCACAGGGTGGTGCTGCTGAGGGAGCCCAAGGGCTGAGCCAGGACCCAGCTCGTCTGTTCCTACCCCCCCCCCCCAAGTGCAGGTGGCAAAGCTCAGGTTGCAGCTGTACCTGGGTAGAGGAAGGAAGCAATGCTCAAGTTGCAGGTCTGGGTGTCGAAGGGGAACTTGAGGATCATCAAGGCACAGGTTAAGGTGACCTGGAAGGGCTGGCTGGCGTTGAAGCTGCCGTTGTACATGACAGACATGTAGTCCAGGTTGGAGTTTTCTCCGTTCACTCTGGAGGAAACAAATGGGGAAAGTGACTCCAAGAGGCTGCAAAGCTCCTCTGCCCACCCCCCACCCCAAAAGCCCGGGCTGGGACATCCTGCTGGGGGGCTCTGTGCCCTCACCCAGCCATGGGATGCAGCAGTGAGGAGAGCAAACCTGAGGCTTGGAGAAGGGCTGGTAGATGCCTCTGGATGAAGGTTTGTAGCAGCTCTGCATCTCCTGAGGGGGCTCCTTCTTCTCTCCCTGCTGCTTCCCACTCTCACCCAGAGCAGGGGCTCCTTCCTGGCTCTGCTGGGCTGCAGAGCTGCCTCCCCTCTGTCCCCCCCAGCCCAAGAGCTGGTGACAGTGCCCATCCCTCCATCAGACCCACAGCTCTGTCCTCTATCTCACCACAAACTGCCAAGGGACGTTTCCTCCTGCAGCATCGCCGGGCTCTGCTGCTTCTTCAGCTTTAACTACAGCCCAGATGGGACATTTCTGGAGGTGTCCCAGCATTACAGAACCACAAAAAGCTTTGTATCAACTGTGGTCACCACTAATTATGAGGTTGTTGGTTACAGAGAGCTCATGGGAGCTCATCCCATTTCCTGTAGCACCATCAACCACTTGCACCTGTTGTTTTTCTCTTAAGCTGGTGGATGAGAAGACCAGGGGAACCTACCTCTCCAAAATGAAGATGGAGGGAGACCAGTAAGTCTTTGTGGGCAGAATGATTTTGGAAATGTTACAAAAGTCCTGTGGGTCCCAGGTGGCAAAAGTGTTTTTCCACTCCTGGAGGGGGGGGAAGAAGTTGTGGGAGAGGAACGAGCACTGGGCTCAGCACCAGCCACTGGTGCTGGGATCAAGGGAGAGGTGGCTCCTGAGGGACCTACCAGGTTCAACACGACGTAAAAAGTGACTGTCTGGAGCTTTTCCACCTGGAGAAAGGAGAGGAAAGATACTTGGCTGATTTTCTTAAGCACATCCAAAGCAGAGCCCAGAAGCTCCCCCGTGATGCTCTTGCCGTGGACAGCACAGGTTGCAGGACCTCAGCTGAGGAGGAGAGTGCAAGGATCTTGGTCCTACAGCTGAAAAGTGGGAGAATATGGTCCAATGGTTTGGAAAAAAAAATCTCTCTCTCTCCACCTCTTCAGTTCTCCATCTCTCCATCTTATTGTTAACATTTACACACCAGTGCCCTTTGGCTGCATCCCTGGGTTCAGGGTCTCCACAGGGTTGTTTCCAGAGCCTGCTCTGAAGCTGTTGGTCTGAAACTGCCTCTGAACTTTTTCCCTGGAAGTAGGTGGGAGAAAATATTCCAACACTTCCAGAAATGCTTCCCAACAGCAGAAAGCTGAAGAAGTGGAAGGGGTTGGTTCTGATCCCTGCTGGCCCAGCCCTGCCTGGCCCAAGACTCAAACCCCAATCACCCAGTTTTCTGTTAGAGAGACTGGACAGGAGCTTTGGGTCCTTACCACGGAGAGAATTGCCACCAGCATGAAATCCATCTTCACTTCCACAGGCTCCTTCACGTCTGCCTTGGGCAGGATGTGTGCATGTAACTTGCTGTGAGAGGAGATGTTCAGGTGCTCCACAACATCGTAGTAGGTGCAGCCACTCCCTGGGACAGCCCCTGCTGGGAAAGGACATCATCTATGTGTATCATTCCAGTTGAATCAGGAAAGGATCAGACAAGATCTCAACCTCTGAGGGGGGAGATGTCCAGGCAGAGAAAGGTTGTGGAGCTGTGGGCATGAAACCCATCATGAATGCAGGTGAATTCCTGCTCACACACAGGTGAGGACAGGATTCCTCAAAGCTTTTCTGTCCCTCTTGAACTTACCTGTCCCCAGAGAAAAGGTGAGGAGAGCTATAAAAGTTCCCTGCATCATCTCCTGCTTCCAAATCAGGAGGCAAACAGTTCCCTGTGTCTTATGAACAGTTCCAGGACACGTCATTTGTTGTGTAGAAGTCGATTTAATGTTTATTCATGAGGGATGGATATTTTGTAAACAGAATGTAGACTTTTTATGTGCTTAGTTGCATTGGAAAGAAGAATTTGCTAATGGTTTGATGCACTCAGCTGGCTCCTGGGAGCAGCCTGTGGTTGTGGGGAAGGCAAAAGAAGGTCATTTAGAAAAAAAATAATCCAACAACTTGAGGGAGAAGAAAGGAAAGGCCCATCTTCACAGAGACCAGACAGTGAGCCAGAGCCACTCAGAAGCAAATCTGGTCTCATGTCCAGGGCTGAGGCTCCAGCAAAATGGAGCAGGAATTAGTGCTTGTGCAATGGGGGGAGTGCTGGGGGCTAGGGAGAGGCAGCAGCTCCACAGCAGCCCAGGCTGCAGGTGTTAGAGCTTGTCCCCTTGTCCTAAAGCTCTGAAACACAGAAGAACCACCAAGGCTGGAAAAGACCTCTGAGATCAGCAAGTCCAGCCTATGACCTGACACCACCACATCGGCCAGACCAGGGCACTAAGTGCCACGTCCAGGCTTTCCTTGAGCACCTTCAGGGATGGTGCCTCCTGGAAAGTCCATTCCTGAGCCTTTCCTGCACCCACTGATCCTGTCTCTGCCTCCTTGCTGGTGTCCCGTGCCCTCAAGGTGCTTCTCCAAGTCCTTATGATTAAGACAAAATACCTTTTTCCCCACATCTCCACCTACCTTCCCCTCAGCCACCCTCCTCTCCATCACTGCCTGGTTTCTCTGCTGTGATTCCAGCAACACTTTCAGGTGCTCAGGGAGCAGCTCCAGTTCTCGTGTGCTTGGCAAGTCCCTCCCCACTGGGACACTGTGGGTGGCACCTTCTCCCTGTGGCCTCTGCTTGTCTCCGAGCCTGGAGGTGGGAAGTGAATGGGCCATAGGACAGGGTTGGACTCGGGCACAAGGAGAATTAGAGGTGACCTCTGTGCTGGGGCTGGAGGTTGCAGGAGCTGGTGCTGGTGGATGACAGTGTCACAGGAGGGGGGGACAATGCTGAGCCCCCCGAGTGCTGCCTCCAGAGCCCCCGTGTGCAGCAGCCCGAGGGCTGGGAGCACATGGGACCTCCCTTCTGCAAACTTCTGGTCCCTGCCCTGTCCTGTCCTGTCCTGGGCTCCACGGCCCCTCCCCAGGGAAGCCCCCAGACCTCGGCTCCGGCACCGGTCCCTGCCCCCAGCACCGACCCCTGCCCCCAGCACTGATCCCTGGCTCCAGCACTGATCCCTGGCTCCAGCACTGATCCCTGGCTCCAGCACTGATCCCTGGCTCCAGAACTGACTCCCAGCTCCAGCACAGCAGCAAATCCCACCGCGGATGCCCCCAGAGCTGAGCCAACAGCCCGTCCCTCCCGGGCGTGTCCCCTGGCGCCCCCCGCACCCGGGGCTCGGGGTGATGCGGGGGGTGATGGGGGGGGGGGTATTGTAGGGATGATGGGGGAGTGATG